TTTATTCTTTTCTTTTTTTTTTTTTTTTTTTTTTTTTTTTTTTTTTTTGAGACGGAGTCTCGCTGTGTCTCCCAGGCTGGAGTGCAGTGGCGTGATCTCGGCTCACTGCAAGCTCCGCCTCCCGGGTTCACGCTATTCTCCCGCCTCAGCCTCCCAAGTAGCTGAGACTACAGGCGCCCGCCACCACGCCCGGCTAGTTTTTTGTATTTTTGGTAGAGACGGGGTTTCACCATGTTAGCCAGGATAGTCTCGATCTCCTGACCTCGTGATCCACCCGCCTCGGCCTCCCAAAGTGCTGGGATTACAGGCTTGAGCCACCGCGCCCGGCCGTGTTTATTCTTTTCAGTAAAGATACTACATTTAGAACAACAGCTGGCCAGGCCCAGTGGCTCACACCTGTAATCCCAGCACCTCGGGAGGCCAAGGCGGGCAAATCACTTGAGGTCAGGAGTTCAAGACCAGCCTAGCCCATATAGTGAAACCCCATCTTTACTAAAAATACAAAACTTAGCCACTCGTGGTGGCACACGCTGTAGTCCTACCTACTCGGAAGGCTAAGGCAGGAGAATTGCTTGAACCCGGGAGGCGGAGGTTGCAGTGAGCCAAGATTGTGCCACTGCACTCCAGCCTGGGTAACAGAGTGAGACTCTGCTCCCCCCCACAAGTAAAAAGGACAGCAGCTACAATTGGGGTGACCATGTGATTAAGTTTATGGTAGTCCAGTCATTCTCCAAGATACCATGTGACTTCTGCACAAGGCGGAGTAGTGTGTTTAATGATAATGAAGATGTAGTGAGTTTCATGACCCTGGGGTCTTTCAAGTCCTTTATGGTGACATTATTCTTTGCAGTTCCACAGGAAGGTTTCACTTCTAGTTTATTATCTTAGGGGATGGGGAATTCCGAATGCCTTTAGTTTTCATTTTCTACCATAATGTTCCTCGCCTTACTAATCAGATAGCCAATTTTAGGGATGCTGCTAGTACCCAAAAATTCATGTATTTCAATTATATATTCAGGAACTGGGGAAATAATCATGGAAGGGGTCCATAGTTCAAGTGGGCCCTCAATAAGTACAAGTGTTAAGTCACCATCTGCCACCTGACTACCATAAGCTTCCACTTTGGTAGTGGCCCACAGTAGTCTTTTGGGTCCCCAGAATATGGCATCAGCTCAAGGCCACTCTCTTTATTGTCTATATTTTCTTTTCTTTTCTTTTCTTTCTTTTCTTTTGTTTTCTTTTTTCTTTTTTTTTTTTTTTTTGAGATGGAGTCTCGCTGTCTCCCAGGCTAGAGAACAGTGGCGTGATCTTGGCCCACTGCAACCTCTGCCTCCCTAGTAGCTGGGACTGCAGGTGCATGCTGTCACGCTCAGCTAATTTTTTTGTATTTTTAGTAGAGACAAGGTTTCATTGTGTTAGGCAGCATGGTCTCGATCTCCTGACCTGTGATTCATCGCCTCAGCCTCCCAAAGTGCTGGGATTACAGGCGCGAGCCACTGCACCCGGCTCTATTTTCTTTTATTCTGAGACAGAGCCTCACTCTATGTCCCAGGCTGGAGTGCAGTGGCGTGATCTCGGCTCACTGCAATCTCTGCCTCCCGGGATCAAGCAATTCTCCTGCCTCAGCCTCCTGAGTAGCTGGGATTACAGTCACGTGCTACCATGCCTGGCTGATTTTTGTATTTTTAGCAGAGACAGGATTTTGCTGTGTTGGCCAGGCTGGTCTTGAACTCCTGACGTCAGGTGATGTGCCTGCCTCAGCCTCCCAAAGTACTGAGATTACACTTGTGAGCCACTGCGCCTGGCCATCTTTTGAATATTTTAAATTCTGTTCTTCAGTCATCTTAGGTACATAATGAAGTTATCAATAACACGTGGCTGGTGACTGCTGAATTGTTCTGTGCAGGTCTGAACTGTCTTCTGGTCATCCTCGGGGGTAACAGCATCCACAGGAGATCAGGCTGTAGGATTAAATATCAGACCAACAGGAGATCGAGACTATCCTGGCTAACACGGTGAAACCCCGTCTCTACTAAAAATACAAAAAAACTAGCCGGGCGCGGTGGCGGGCGCCTGTAGTCCCAGCTACTTGGGAGGCTGAGTCGGGAGAATGGCGTGAACCCAGGGGGCGGAGCTTGCAGTGAGCCGAGATTGCGCCACTGCACTCCAGCCTGGGAGACACAGCGAGACTCCGTCTCAAAAAAAAAAAAAAAAAGGCCGTGCGCGGTGGCTCAAGCCTGTAATCCCAGCACTTTGGGAGGCCGAGGCGGGCGGATCACAAGGTCAGGAGATCGAGACCACAGTGAAACCCCGTCTCTACTAAAAATACAAAAAATTAGCCGGGCGCGGTGGCGGGCGCCTGTAGTCCCAGCTACTCAGGAGGCTGAGGCAGGAGAATGGCGGGAACCCGGGAGGCGGAGCTTGCAGTGAGCCGAGATCGCGCCACTGCACTCCAGCCTGGGCAACAGCGTGAGACTTCGTCTCAAAAAAAAAAAAAAAAAAAAAAAAATATCAGACCAATTACTAGGATTATTTGAATGTAGGTTTTTTCCAGTATTAAGTAGAGGTAATGGGCCAGGCATGGTGGCTCATGCTTATTATCCCAGCACTTTGGGAGGCCAAGGTGGGAGGATTGTTTGAGCCCAGGAGTTTGAGACCAGCCTAGGCAACCTGGTGAAACCCTGTCTCTACTAAAAATACAAAAAAGTAGGCCGGGCGCGGTGGCTCAAGCCTGTAATCCCAGCACTTCGGGAGGCCGAGACGGGCGGATCACGAGGTCAGGAGATCAAGACCATGCTGGCTAACATGGTGAAACCCCGTCTCTACTAAGAAACAAAAAACTAGCTGGGCGTGGTGGCGGGCGCCTGTAGTCCCAGCTACTCGGGAGGCTGAGGCAGGAGAATGGCGTAAACCCAGGAGGCGGAGCTTGCAGTGAGCTGAGATCCAGCCACTGCACTTCAGCCTGGGCCACAGAGTGAGACTCTGTCTCAAAAAAAAAAAAAAAAAAAATACAAAAAAGTAGCCAGACCCAGTGGTGTGCACCTGTAGTCCCAGCTACTTCGGGGGCTGAAGTGGGAGAATCACTTGAGGACGGGAGTTCGAGACCAGCCTGGCCAACATAGCGAAACCCTGTCTCTAAAATTAGCCAGGCATTGGCCAGGCACGGTGGCTCATGCCTGTAATCCCAGCACTTTGGGAGGCCGAGGTGGGCGGATCACTAGGTCAGGAGATTGAGACCATCCTGGCTAACACAGTGAAACCCTGTCTGTACTAAAAATACAAAAAAATTAGCCAGGCGTGGTGGCGGGCACCTGTAGTCCCAGCTACCTGGGAGGCTGAGGCAGGAGAATGGCATGAACGCGGGGGGCAGAGCTTGCAGTGAGCGGATATCACGCCACTGCGCTCCAGCCTGGGCGGCAGAGCAAGACTCTGCCAAATAAATAAATAAATAAATAAATAAATAAATAAATAAAAATTAGCCAGGCATCGTTGTGCATGCCTGTAATCCCAGCTACTCAGGAGGCTGAGGCCTGATAATCGCTTGAACCTGGGAGGCAGAGGGTGCAGTGAGTCCAGATCATGCCAGTGCACTTCAGCCTGGACAACAGTAGGACTCTGTCTCAAAATAACAATAATAATAATAAAATAATAAGGCTTGATGATGCACACCTGTGGTCCCAGCTATTCAGGAGGCTGAGGTGGGAGCGATCACTTGAGCCCGGAAGGTCTAGGCTACAGAGTGCTATGATTATGCCATTGCACTTAAACCCGGGCAACAGAGTGAGACCCTATCTCAATAGATAGGTTCATAGATAGATAGAGGTAATGATAGCTATTGGGAATGATGGTTATGATAAGTGAGCACGTATATGTAAAGCTACCAGAGCTACTTCTGACACACGAGTCCTCAGTAAATGTCAGTTGCTGTTATTAATGCTATCATTACTGAGTGGTGATACCAAGTGTACAGTTTTTGGTGGCTTTCACATCTGTCACCTGCAGAGAGAAATCTGATGCGTAATATTCAGTGACTTATGTTTGATGCTTGTTGTTTGGTGATTGGTGTGAACAGGACCTCAGATAACCCTGTACAGAGAAGAATGGGATTGCCTCTATTCACCTAGATTCGTAAGCTGCCCTGAGGCGATCTTGGCATCAAGGAAGACAGCATTGAGGCACACCTCACCATCAGGTTCAGAGGATGTCAGCCATTGATTTGTCCCTTGGTAAGTCCTTGTTGATGCTCTTTTTCAGAGATTCTGCTTTAGGTCGCCCTCTACAACATAAGAGTCCAGTGAGCTGGGCCTGAACAGGTATGCTGCTTTTTTTTTTTTTTTCTTCTTCTTCTTCTTCTAGATGGAGTTTTGCTCTTGTTGCCCAGACTATAGTGCAAAGGCGCGATCTCAGCTCACCGCAACCTCCACCTCCTGGGTTCAAGCAATTCTCCTGCCTCACCCGCCCAAGTCACTGGGACTACAGCCTAATTTTGTATTTTTAGTAGAGACGGGTTTCTCCATGTTGGTCAGGCTGGTGTTGAACTCCCGACCTCAGGTGATTTACCCGCTTTGGCCTCCCAAGTATTGGGATGACAGGCATCAGCCACCATGCCCGGCTGCTGCTAGTTCTTTTACAAGGAATTGACGTGAGACACAGAATGCTGTTTTATTATATTTATATTTATATTTATATTTATTTATTTTTTTGAGACAGAATCTTGCTCTGTCACCCAGGCTGGAGTGCAGTGGTGTAATCTTGGCTCACTGCAACCTCCGCCTCCTGGGTTCAAGCAATTCTCTTGCCTCAGCTTCCCAAGTAGCTGGGACCACAAGCACGCATCACCTTGCCCAGCTAATTTTTGTTTGTTTGTTTGTTTGTTCTGAGACGGAGTCTCACTCTGCCACCCAGGCTGAAGTGCAGTTGCATGATCTCAACTCATTGCAACCTCCACTTCCCAGGTTCAAACAATTCTCTGCCTCACCCTCCTGTAATTTTTTTTTTTTTTTTAGTGGAGACGGGATTTTGCCATGTTGGCCAGGCTGGTCTTGAATGCCTGACCTCAAGTGATTTGCCCGCGTTGGCCTCCCAGAATGTTGGGGTTACAGGCATGAGCCACTGTGCCCAGCCAGGATGCTGTTTTAGAATTCAGCCCTGGTTTGTGTGCCTTAGGAAGTGCTACATAAGCTTCATGAGTATTACTACTATGGGCAGATAGAGAGTCACATTTTTCAGGGTGTAAGTTTCCTTGTAAAATGAAACTATTACCCTTTACCCAACAGGCAGCTCGGCCCACATCTGCTTTTCTGGGTCTAGCTAACACAGGACTACTATGGCATTTCGTGGCAGTGTTGCGTGTATGCAGTTTTCTCAAGTGTGCAGGAGCATATGGGAATTTCAGGCTAGGATGGAATGACTTCTAGGCATGAGTATGTGGTTAGGATGGGCAGCTCTGGCTTCTCAATGCCTTCTTAATTTTCCACTAGGGTTTTTTTCCAGAGAACCAGTCTGCCCTTTTGAAGAAAAGACGAAGGTAGAAAGGATGGTGGAGGACTACCTGGCAAATTCTTATCAGGTAAACAGACAATGTACCATTATACAAAATGACATACTTACATCCAGTACACACATTTCCTTCTAGACAGACTCATCTCCGGAGTTTTCTTAGAGCAAATGAAGCCTTACTCAAAGACTGAGTCCCCAAATGAATTTCCCCAGGAAATGAAATCTCCTGTACATAAAGTATTAACTTGAAAATCATCCTGGTAACTCAGTAATTACTACTTCAGCATGACTTTCATGGTGCCAACTGCATCTTTCTTACATGGCTGGGTGGGGTGACAGGTGATAAGGCAGATGAAAGTGTCCTTTTATCAAATAATTTATTTACTCATCAGCATTTATCAGGTATCTGCAGTGTGCTCAGGAGTGTGCTACATAGAGACCAATGGGATAGGAAGAGCTCCTAACCTGGTTGTGCTGAGATAAAGTGTAAGCAGTGTGCAGTGACTCATGCCTTTAATTCCAGCTACTCAGAAGGTTGGGGTGGGAGGAACACTTCAGCCCAGGAGATCGAAGCTACAGTAAGCAGCAATTGTGCCTCGGCAACACAGTGGGACCGTATCTTTATATGTAAATAAACAAACAGATTGGATAGATAGAGAGATAGATGCTAGATAGATAAAAATTCATGTTTAGGAAGTAGTGTTCTAATCAAAAATAAAAATTCTAAAATTTTTAAAAAATATTAAAAATTAAAAATAAATAGATCAGACAAAAAAGATTTTTAAAAATTTTTATGAAGTGCTGTTCAAATGGGCAAGGTGGCTCACGCCTATAATCCCAGCATTTTGGGAGGCCAAGGTGGGCGGATCACCTGAGGTCAGAAGTTTGAGACCAGTCTGGCCAATGTGGTGAAACCCCATCTCTACTAAAAGTACAAAAATTAGCCAGGCATGGTGTTGTGTGCCTGTAATCCCAGCTACTCGGGAGGCTGAGGCATGAGAATCACTTGAACTTAGGAGGTGGAGGTTCTACTGAGCCGAGGTTGCGCCATTGCACTCCAGCCTGGGCAAAAAGAACAAAACTCTGTCACCAAAAAAAAAAAAAAAAAAAAAAGGCTGTTCAAGGCATATTCCTGTAGGAGGTCAACCTTGAGTGTTTAGACACAAGAGCTCCTGAGACATTAAACCCTGGAGTAGATCATGGGAGACCTGAGAACCACGTATAAGTGAGTATAAGGTTCCCCTTCCTCATTCTCCAGTGAGCACTGGTGGAAGTGTTCATTGGCTCAAACCAGCATGTGTTTGATGATTTAGGATTCAGTGACGTTTGATGATGTGGCTGTGGAGTTCACCCCAGAGGAGTGGGTTTTACTGGACACAACTCAGAAATACCTCTACAGAGATGTGATGCTGGAGAACTACATGAACCTGGCCTCTGTGGGTAAGTAACATCACTTTGCTTGGCATGGTAGCCTGCACCTATAGTCCCAGATACTTGGGAGGCTGAGGTGGGAGAATTGCTGGAGCTTGGGAGTTTGATACTAGCATTGGCAACATTGTGAAACCTCATCTCTAAAAAAAAAATCCTAAAAATAAAGACTAGGCCGGTCACAGTGGTTCACGCCTGTAATCCCAGCACTTTGGAAGACTGAGGTGGGCAGATCACGAGGTCAGGAAATCAAGACCAGCCTGGTTAACACGGTGAAACCTTGTCTGTACTAAAAATGCAAAAAATTAGTCGAGCACGGTGGCACATGCCTGTAGTCCCAGTTACTCGGGAGGCCGAGGCAGTAGAATCACTTGAACCCAGGACGGGGAGGTTGCAGTGAGCTGAGATTGCGCCACTGCACTCCAGCCTGGGCGACAGTGAGACTTCAACTCAACAACAACAAAAAAAGATTTTTTTAAATCCACTTTTCCTCAGAAGATTTAAGCTATTTTTCTCAGACTTTCAGATATCTCTGACTTTTATTTTCCATCTAGTCAAACAAAGCTACCTGTTCTGTTTTTTGTTTGTTTTTTTTTTAGACGGAGTCTCGCTCTGTCACCCAGGCTGGAGTACAGTGGCGCGATCTCTACTCACTACAAGCTCCGCCTCCCGGGTTCTTGCCATTCTCCTTCCTCAGCCTCCTGTAGCTGTTCTGTTTTTTTGTTAAGTTTATTATTTTGATATATGCTCTTTATCCTGATCTTTCCTACTTTCCTTTCCTGATAATCTTCTCTTCCTGTTCCCCATCAGTTGTAGTTTTCGCAGAAACAGTTTGTAATAAACTATCTAAACACATCAGTTGTGTAATAAACCCCACATCCTTATAGCCAAATTTTTGACATACCAAAATCCTCAAGGTTCTCTTGCTTTTATTTTCTTTTTCCTTTTTTCTTTTTTTTTTTTTTTTTGAAATGGAGTCTCGTTCTGTTACCCAGGCTGGAGTTCAGTGGTTCGATTTTGGCTCACTGCAGCTTCCACCTCTCAGGTTCAAATGATTCCCCTGCCACAGCCTCCCGAGTAGCTGGGACTACAGGCACGCACCAACATGCCTGGCCGATTTTTTTTTTTTTTTTTTTTGTATTTCAGTAGAGATGGGGTTTCACCATGTTGATCAGGATGGTCTCGATCTCCTGACCTTGTGATCCACCCGCCTCGGCTTCCCAAAGTGCTGAGATTACAGCCGTGAGCCACCGTGCCTGGCCTGTGGCTTTTATTTTCTTATTGTGTTTAATTTGAAAACAAGGACAAATGACTCATTTTAAACTAACACATTTCTTCTCTAAACCCTTAGATTTCTTTTTCTGCTTAACTTCAGAATGGGAAATACAACCTAGAACCAAACGGTCATCACTTCAGCAGGGTTTTTTGAAGAATCAAATATTTACTGGCATACAAATGGTAAGATTCATGAGGGATATTTCTTTTTTTCTTCTTTTTTTAATTGAGACAGAGTCTCGCTCTGCCAGGCTGAAGTGCAGTTGCATCATCTCAGCTCACTGCAACCTCCAACTCCCAGGTTCAAGCGATTCTCTCGCCTCAGCCTCCTGAGTAGCTGGGACTAAAGGCATGTGCCACCACGCCCAGCTAATTTATTGTATTTTTAGTAGAGACAGGGTTTCACTGTGTTAGCCAAGATGGTCTTGATCTGACCTCGTGATCCACCTGCCTCAACCTCCCAAAGTACTGGGATTACAGGCGTGAGCCACCGTGCCAGGCCATGAGGGATATTTCTTAATTTCCTCTCTCAGAAAAGATTGAGAATTCCATTCTAGAAAATCAGCCCAGTTAGTGGTGTGGTTTACATCTATAATCCCAGCTACTTGGGAGGCTGAGGTGGGAGCATCATTTGAGCCCAGGAGTTCAAGACCAGCCTAGGCAGTATAGCAAGATCCCATCTCTGATTTTAAAAAGAGCCTGGATGTGGTGGCTCATGCCTGTAATCTCAATATTTTAGGAGGCAAAGGTAGGTGGATCACTTGAAGTCAGGAGTTTGAGACAGGCCTGGCCGGCATGGTGAAACTCCATCTCTACTAAAAATACAAAATTAGCTGCGTGTGTTGGTGGGCACCTGTCATCCCAGTTACTCTGGAAGCTGAGGCAGGACAATCACTTACTCAGAGGCACAGGTTGCGGTGAACCAAGACTGCACCACTGCATTCCAGCCCGGGCGACCGCATTCCAGCCCAGGCGACCGAGTGAAACTCTGTCTCAAAAAAAAAAAAAAAAAGGAGGGAAGTCAGAAAAGAAAGTGAGTCCTGTAATCCCAGCACTTTGGGACGCCGAGGTGGGTGGATCACTTCGAGACCAGCCTGACCAACATGGTGAAATTCTGTCTCTACTAAAAATATAAAATTAGCCAGGTTTGGTGGCGGCACTTGTAATCCCAGTTACCTGGGAGGCTGCGGCAGAATTGCTTAAACCCGGGAGGTGGAGTTTGCAGTGAAAAAGAAACAGCACAAATGAGAGATACTTGAGAGAAGTAGCCTGCACCGTTGAGGGAGCAGGGTCTCTGGAGAGAGTCTGAATGTGATGAATTTTGTGATGTTTCATACCTGTATAACTTGTCACTTCAAAATACCCACAAGTACACATTCCCACATAAGTAACTAGACATTGAGGATTTAAACAGTTTCATGAAAATCTATACAATTTGGCTGGTTGCAATGGCTGATGCCTGTAATCCCAGCACTTTGGGAAGCTGAGGCAGGAGAATTGCTTGAGTCTAGGAGATCAAGACCAGCCTGGGCAACAGGGAGACCCTGTCTCTACAAAAAACAAAAAGTTAGCCAGGCATGTTGGCATGCATCTGTACTCCAAGCTCCCTGGGGGACTGAGGCAGGATGATGGCTTGAGCCTGGGTGATTAAGGCTGCAGTGAGCTGTGATTGTGCCATGGTACACAGCCTGGGTGACAGAGTGAGACCCTGTCTCAAGCCACCCCCAACAATCAAAAAAAGACAGTGTTTTTGTTTGTTTGTTTGTTTGTGTTGAACAATTAGAGCCAGTGGCATAGAATTCTGGCAAGAAATCAAGAGGGTAGGAAATGAGACCATGGAAGAAAAATTGTAAAAATTAGATTTATCTAAGTAGGCTGACTTGGCAGCTCATGGCTGTAATGTCAACAGTTTGGGAGGCTGAGACATGGTGTTTCTTGAAGAGTTTGAGACCAGCCTAGGCTACATAGCAAGACCTTGTCTCTATAAAAATAAATTGAGGCCGGGCACGGTGGCTCACGCCTCTAATCCCAGCACTTTAGGAGGCTGAGGTGGGCGGATCACAAGGTCAGGAGTTTGAGAACACTCCGGCCAACATGGTGAAATCCCATCTGTAGTAAAAATACGAAAATTAGCTGGGTGTGGTTGCACATACTACTCGGGAGGCCTAGGCAGAAGAACCGCTTGAACCCAGCAGGCGGAGGTTGCAGTGAGCTGAAATTGCGACAGTTCACTCCAGCCAAAGTGAGACTTCATCTCAAAAATAAATAAATAAATAAATCAAAAGATTGGCCAGGCGTGATGATGCATGCCTATAGTCCTAGCTACACAGGAAGCTAAGGCAGGATGATCACTTGAACCCAGCCAGGCATTTGAGGTTACAGTGAGCCATGATCACAGCGGTGTACTAAAGCCCAGGCAATGGAGCAAAACCCCAACTCTGAACAAAGTAAAACATGCCATGCATGGTGGGTCATGCCTGTAATCTTACCTCTTTGGGAGGCCGAGGCAGGCAGTTCACCTGAACTCAGGAGTTTGAGACCAGCCTGGGCAACTTGGCAAAACCTGTGTCTACAAAAAAATAGAAAAATTACCCGGTGCGGTAGTGCACAACTGTATTTCCAGCTGCTCGAGAGGCTGAGGCATCAGGATCACTTGAGCCTGGGAGGTGGAGGTTGCAGTTAGCAGAGATTGTACCACTGTACTGCAGGCCGGGAGATAGAAGAAGACTCTGTCTCAAAAAAAAAAAAAAAAAAGGCCGGGCGGGGCTCAAGCTGTAATCCAGCACTTGGAGGGAGACGGGGATACAAGTCAGGAATGAACATCCTGGCTAACACGGTGAAACCCTCTCTACAAAAATACAAAAAATACGGCGAGTGGGGCGCCTGTTCCAGTACTCCGGAGCTGAGCAGGAGAATGGGTAACCGGGAGGCGGAGCTGAGTGAGCTGAGATCCGGCCACTGCACTCCAGCCTGGGCGACAGAGCCAGACTCAGTCTCAAAAAAAAAAAAAAAAAAATTAAACATGAAAAAGTAAAATAATAATTGTCATCAAAATAATGTTTATGTGTTCAGATGGGTGAAATCTCTTTATATGTCTGAAAATGTTTTAAATCCTTTATCCCCTCCTCAGCAGACAAGAAACTACAGTGGATGGAAACTCTGTGAGAATTGTGGAGAGGTCTTCAGTGAACAGTTTTGCCTTAAGACACACATGAGAGCTCACAATGGAGGGAACACTTCTGAGGGTAATTGTTACGGAAAAGACGTCCTCAGTGTGCACAAGGAAGCCTCTGTTGGACAGGAACTTTCCAAATTTAATCCATGTGGAAAAGTTTTCACCTTAACTCCAGGCCTTGCTGTACATCTTGAAATTCTCAATGGAAGACAACCATACAAATGTAAGGAATGTGGAAAAGGCTTTAAGTATTTTGCGAGCCTTGATAATCACATGGGAATCCACATTGGAGAGAAACTCTGTGAATTTCAGGAATGTGAGAGAGCCATCACACCTTCCTCACACCTAAAGCAGTGTGTAACAGTTCATACTGGAAGGAAATCTGAAAAGACCAAGAATTGTGGGAAATCCTTCACTAATTTTTCTCAACTTTCTGCACATGCGAAAACTCATAAAGGAGAGAAGTCCTTTGAATGTAAAGAATGTGGAAGATCCTTTAGAAATTCCTCATCCTTTAATGTTCATATTCAGATTCACACTGGAATAAAACCACACAAATGTACAGAATGTGGGAAAGCCTTCACTAGATCAACTCACCTTACTCAACATGTAAGAACTCACACTGGAATAAAACCCTATGAATGTAAGGAATGTGGCCAAGCCTTCACTCAATACACAGGCCTTGCTATACACATACGAAATCACACTGGAGAGAAACCCTATCAGTGTAAGGAATGTGGGAAAGCCTTCAATAGATCTTCAACGCTTACTCAACATAGAAGAATTCACACAGGAGAGAAGCCTTATGAATGTGTTGAATGTGGGAAGACCTTCATTACTTCTTCCCATCGTAGTAAACATTTGAAAACTCACAGTGGAGAAAGGTAAATGCAAGATATGTGGGATGGCACTTCTGTATTCCTCACCCCTAACGTTCACCTGCAAATTCATACCAGAGAGAAACCCTTCGTATGTAAAGAATGTGGGAAAGCAGGCCGGGCGCAGTGGCTCACGCCTGTAATCCCAGCACTTTGGGAGGCCGAGGCGGGTGGATCATGAGGTCAGGAGATCGAGACCACCCTGGCTAACACGGTGAAACCCTGTTTTTACTAAAAATACAAAAAATTAGCCCGGCTTGGTGGCGGGCACCTGTAGTCCCAGCTACTCGGGAGGCTGAGGCAGGAGAATGGCGTGAACCCAGGAGGCGGAACTTGCAGTGAGCTGAGATCATGCCACTGCACTCCAGCCTGGGCGACAGAGCGAGACTCCGTCCCCTCCCCACCCCAAAGAAAAAAGTGGGGGGCGGTGGTCAACCTGTAATCCAGCACTTTGGAGCGGACGGGCGGATCACGAGTCAAATGGACCCCGGCTAACACGGTGAAAAAAAAAAAAAAAAACAGCAGAATGGCACCGTAGAATCAGGAGGAAAAAAGGAAGTGCAGTGAGCGAGATCGCCACTGCACTCCAGCCGGCACAGAGCAAGACTCCGTCTCAAAAAAAAAAAAAAAAAAAGAATGTGGGAAAGCATTTGCTGTTTTCTCATGCCTAAGTATGCATGAAAGAATTCACACTGGGGAGAAATCTTATGAATGTAAGGGTATGAGTATTACCATCTAGTCCATTGGTTGCCACATTTAATTATTGGCAGTGCAGAGATCATCAGATTTGTCCTAAATGCCTTGCGGAGGTTGTAATGGCTCATGGATTGGCCTTAGATGCCATCCTGAGGGTCTGAAATTAAACCTACAGGTTCTGAATACAACTTCATGGTTGCCTGAGTCTGGGCATCTGTGAAGAAGGGTCGTGGATGGTGAGGTCAGTACTGCAGGCTGCCTCACATTAGTGATTAGACTCCTAAGATCATAGCGTTAACAAGTTCTGTATGAGATACATCATGTAGATTGATCCCAGCCCCTGTTGGTTAGTGGCTGCCAGTGTGGCACATTTATGTCAAAATTTACCAGAAGCTAAGATGTAGGCCCCAGAGGTGGATTGTTAAAAAGATGCTCCTCCAAGGGACTCTTCTGTTCCCATGGATCCTGCAGAGCATGGCAGGTATGAAACCATCCTTAACTGCCAGTGCACTTTCATAGCTGATTATTTCTGTGTGCCCTTCTTTTTACAAGAAGTGTGACAACCTTGCCTGTTCTGTTCTGTCCTCTCTGTCCATTTTAGGTGGCACAATGTAAGTGGCAGTGTATCTTCTAGTATAATCCAGTCTCTCTTCTCTCTTCTGTTAAGATGATTGATATAGTCCATGAATCCCACTCATGATCTCTTTATCAAATAAATGATTGTTCAGCCACACTTTGAGGATTCTCTTCAGTACAAGTTTTCTAATTTTTGCAGTATGGATAGGCTGAGAATTTTCCAAATCTCCAAGTTCTGGTTCCTTTTTCCTTAACTATTTCTTCTGCAATTCAGGTCTCCTCTTTTGCATTTTTGCCGAGACCAGCTCCGTGGTGGAGACCCTAACCCAGCGGCGCTAGAGGAATTAAGGCACAGACACAGAACTAGAGTGCAGAGTGGGAATCGAGGCTGACAGCCTTCAGAGCTGAGAGCCTCCAACAGAGTATTTACTGACAGTAAGCCCGTGATAAACATTATTTCTATAGATTATAGATTAGCTAAATGTATCCCTTGAGGGAATGAAAGGGACAGGCTGTGCCTTGTTATCTGCAGCAGGAACATGTCCTTAAGGCACAAATCACTCATGCTATTGTTTATGGTTTAGGAATGCCTTGAGCAGTTCTCCAGTTTTCTGCCCTGGGTGGATCAGGTGTTCCCAGCCCTCATTCCAGTAAACCAGCCACCTCCAGCGTGGGTGTCATAGCCATCAGGAGCATGTCACAGTGCTGCAGAGATTGTGTTTATGGCCAGTTTCTCATGACCTGTTTATGGCCATATTTGGGAGGCCTGTTCCCAGCACATTTTCTTGTAAGTAGTCAGGAAGAATGAAGCTTCCTGTGTCCTTTAACACTGTAATTACAGATATTAGTGATACATACCCAATTTTATGTCTCTCAAGCTCTACCTTGCACTAAATGTTAGAATACAGTTCTGCCAAGTTCTTCACGACTTCATATCAAGGGTTGTCTTTTCTTCATTTGCAAATAGCATGTTCCTCATTCCCCAATGACACCTCACCAGAATCACCCTTACCAACCTTATTTCCAGCTTGCACATCAGAATTTTTCCAGCCTCTACTCATTTGTCAGTTTCAAGGCTGCTTCACATTTTTAGTTTTTTTGTTTGTTTGTTTTTAATTGCAGTACCTCACTTTTCAGTGCCAAAATCTGCGGTAGTCAGCTCGGGCATCCATAACAGAATACCACAGACCAAATGGCTTACAAATTCATTTAATTTAAAACAAATGAGGTTAAAAAAACAATGTGTTTTTCTTTTTCCTGTTTTTTTTTTTATTTTGAAATGGAGTTTCGCTCTTGTTGCCCAGGCTGGAGTGCACTGGCGTGACCTCGGCTCACTGTAACCTCCACCTCCCGGGTTCAGGCAGTTCTCCTGCCTCAGCCTCCCAAGTAGCTGGGATAATTGGCATGCATCCCAAATCTTGGCTAATTTTGTATTTTTAGTAGAGACAGGATTTCTCCATGTTGGTCAGGCTGATCTCCATGTTAGTCAGGCCTGAGCTCAGGTGATCCACCCGCCTTGGCCTCCCAAAGTGCTGGGATTACAGGCCTGAGCCACCGCATCTGTCCCGAAACACAAATTTATATTCTCACATATCTGGAGGCTGGAAGTCTGAGATCAGAGTGCCAGCATGGTCAGCTTCTGGTGAGAGTGCTCTTCCTGGCATGTCAGTGCCCACTTCCTCATGTCTTCACACGATGGAGACCAACAAATAGGTCAGTCGGTCTCCCCTCCCCACCCCGCCCCCTTCTCTTTTCACATACAGTCACACTGGGATTTGGAGCTTCGTATGAAATTTGGGGGTCACCAGGGTCACTATATATATATATATATATGTATATAATTCCTGAAGTATATTATATACATGTATACATGTATAGGTATATAATTCCTGAAGTGGAAAACTAAGAGTCATTATTTACAGATTATCTGATTGTCTATGTGGAAAGAGAAAAGAATCATTAAGTACTTTGGACTGAACAGTGACGCCCAAAATTCATGTGATGAAGCTCTCTAAATATTTTCTTGCTTTACTGTACTGATTTCAACCTGCAGCACAACACCAACTAAAAGTAATAATACCAGCATACTTGTCTTTGCAGTTCTGGTGAGATATGCGCTCCATTTTATTGGCTTGGCTGTAGCTTTTTATTTTTTATTTTTTGAAGAGGTTATCTTCTGCAGGAAAGGTTTTTTCTTTATATTCAGTTTTTACATGATGAATGATTTCCCAATATTTCATAATTTATGGGGCTGAATTCCTCTTGAATTTGTTAAATGCTTCCTGCGCATCCTCTGATGATCATGTTTATTTACTGATAAAACTCAAGTACCTAGAACTGCACCTAACTCATGATGGTACCTAATAAATACTTCAATGAAACGTTGTGGTGATGCATGCCTATAGTTTTAGCTACTTGGGAAGATGGCCTGAGCCCAGGGGTTCTAGACCAGCTTAGGCAACATAGCAAGACCCCATCTCAAAAAACAAGCTTGAAGAAGTGAATGCATGGAAGGGTACTTTTCTAAAATGTGATCAGACTGGGTGCGGTGGCTCATGCCTGTAATCCCAGCAATTTGGGAGGCAGGGGTGGGCAGATCACTTGAGGTCAGGAGTTCGAGACCAGCCTGGCCAACATGGTGAAACCCTCTCTCTACTAACAATACAAAAATGAGCTGGGTGTAGTGACATACACCTGTAATCCCAGGTACTTGGGAGGCTGAAGCGGGAGAATCGCTTGAACCCAGGAGGTGGAGGTTGCATTGAGCGGAGATTGCACCACTGCACTGCATGCTGGGTGACAGAATGAGACTCTGTCAAAAATAAATAAATTAACTAAATGTGGTCTTTGTATTTATTTCTTTTCGAATGTTACATCAACCTTGTATTCCTGGATAAGCTCGACTATGGCATAATGGATCATTTAAAAAGACTTATTTGATTACCTTTACTAATATGTTATGGAGCTATGCTTGAATAACATTGCAATTTTTTTTTTTTTTTTTTTTGGTCCCTGAGTGATATATATATAATGACTGTCATATACTATACTGGGGCATGTTTCTACTTTTTCTGAATTCTTAATCTATAAGAATCATCTAGGCTGGGAATAGTGGCTCAGGCCTGTAATCCCAGCACTTTTGGAGGCTGAGGCAAAAGGATGCCGTGAGCCAAGGAGTTCAAACCAGCCTGGGCAACATAGCGAGACCACATCTCTATTTAAAAATACTACAGGCCGGGCGCGGTGGCTCAAGCCTGTAATCCCAGCACTTTGGGAGGCCGAGACGGGAGGATCACGAGGTCAGGAGATCGAGGCCATCCTGGCTAACAAGATGAAACCCCATCTCTACTAAAAAATACAAAAAAATAGCCGGGCGAGGTGGCAGGCGCCTATAGTCCCGGCTACTCGGGAGGCTGAGGCAGGAGAATGGCGTAAACCCGGGAGGTGGAGCTTGCAGTGAGCTGATATTCGGCCACTGCACTCCAGCCTGGGCGACAGAGCGAGACTCCGTCTCAAAAAAAAAAAAAAATACTACAAAATATTTTCGTTTTTTGGGTTTGTTTCTTTGTTTTTGAGATGGAGTTTCGCTTGTTGCCCAGGCTGGAGTGCAATGGCATGATCTCAATTCACTGCAAACTCCACCTCCCCGGTTCCAGCCATGCTTCTGCCTCACCCTCCCGAGTAGCTGGGATCACAGGCCGCCTCCACCATGCCTGGCTAATTTTTGTGTTTTTAGTAGAGACAGGGTTTCGTCACGTTGGCAAGGCTGGTCTTAAACTCCTGACCTCAGATGATCCCCATGCCTCATACTCCCAAAGTACTGGGATTACAGGCGTGAGCCACCGCGCCCGGCCAATATTACAAAATAAAAAGTTAAGATTATCTCTTCTGGCTGGTCATAGTGGCTCACACTTTTAATCCTGGCACTTCAGGAAGTTCAGTCAGAAGGATTCCTTGAGGCCAGGAGTTCAAGATCAGTCTAGGTAATATAGACCCCATCTCTCCAAAAAAAAAAAAAAAACAACAGTTATCAGGTGAGGCATAGTAGCTCGCGCCTGTAACCTCATCACTTTGGGAGGCTGAGGCAGGCAGATCACAAGGTCAAGAGATCAAGACCATTGTGGCCAATATAGTGAAACCCGTCT